TTCACAGAAGCCTGATGATGGCAGATGAGATTCTGCCGAAACGTTGCTACAACTTTAAAAGCACAACTACAATGATGTGGGAAAATACCCTAAATAAAAAATATATATATATATATAAATAAATATAAATAAATAAATAAATTTGTTTTGGTGGATTCTCACAGGTACAGGTATGCAGGTCTTGGCATGTTCAGGTGTTTTCATGTGTAAGATTGAGATCATCTTGGCAATGTTTCGATGAGGTCCCACTTGCCATCTTCAGGCTGGTGCTTTCGGCTTTGTACTTGTGCGAGCAAAGCATGATCGGAGCTGCCCCTATATATACTGGTGGGGAGGTTGGCTGTATTGTCATTTCTTGATTGGTTGATGGAGTTGGTGTTTGCAGATTGGCTGGCTTTTTCATAAGAACATGTGTGGCTGAGGTATTGGCTGTGTATCTATCAGCCTCCTTACAACACAGGAGGCTGATAGACACACAGCCAATACCTCAGCTACACACGTTCTTACAAAAAAGCCAGCCAATCTGCAAACATCAACTCCATCAACTAAACAAGAAATGACAATACAGCCAACCTCCCTACCAGTATAAAAAGGGAGACAACAGCTCCAATCACGCTTTGCTTGCACAAGCACGAAGCCAAAAACACCAGCCTGAAGATGGCGAGTGGAACCTCGTTGAAACGTTGCCAAGATGCTCTCAATCTTACACGGGAAAAGACCCGAACATGCCAAGACCTGCATGTCTCTCTGTCTATCTATCTATCTATCTATCTATCTATCTATCTATCTATCTATCTATCTATCTATCTATCTATCTATCTATCTTTGGAATCCACTGCTGTAATATTACCGTTAAAAGATTCCATGTTATTATTTTTGAAAAGTGCATAAATCCAAATACACAGAATCAATCCAGGGCTACAAAATATTGAAACTATTTCCAGAACCCCACCTCTATTAGTCTTTTACTGCAAACAGAAACCTTGCAACATTTTTCAGGGTCGCACATTTATTCTTGCACAAAGTGAAGTCAGCTCCCCATCTTGGCATTCAACCAAGAGTTGGCTGTTCCAGAAAGTCTTTGGGGATTGATGATATGGATCCTGCCCTTGCAGTAGGCAATTGCTATTGTCGGACTCTTCCTCTATGACTCAATGGCTAGAACAGAGATGAGCAATTAATTTTTCCATGGGTCCAGAACTAGGACTATTCTAGAGGGCCACTGGCACCCTGCCCTACTCAGATGGTCAGTCTGGGACCATTTGTGGACTGTAAAAGGAACAGATCTGGACTAGAAAACTAACTGCCAGTAGGTTCTGGCAGTGTTGTTTTGTTTCCCCAACTTAATTATTTCAATTTTACTTTTCTATTATGGGACACTAGTCAGTTTGTGCAATAAATGAACTTGTAGTGTTTTAATTATCATCTGATTTTAATGAATATTGTCAAGTACAATATTGTACTACCCAACTTTAAACTATAAACTAACAATGGAAATGTCTGAAGGTGTATGAGTTAAAAATAAGAGGGCAGTTTTTGTATGTTCAACACACTCTAAGTATAGAGGTAAAAGTATATAAATTTAAAACAGGAAATTTAAAAATCTATAAACATCTACCTTGATGGCCAATTATGGCCTGAATTTCCAACATGGTGCTTCCCTTGGTGACAGACAAGTTTCACTTGATTTACTCATTTATTTTACATCCATTTAATTGAAAAATAATAATTAATGGAATGTTGGCCTGTTATTACGAAAGTACCAATTTCAGGCAGAAATGAAGGCTATTGGGCTCTGCATAGACCCCAGAAATGTTCTTAGAAAGTAAAAAACTGAGTTTTATTTGAAAGTATGTTAACCTACAAATTTATTATTTAAATCTACTGAGACACAGAATATAAGTTATCCAGATAAAAAAGAAACATGATACATAACTCATAGCATAGTGAGTTATTTTGAAAGAGGAAAGAATCAGTTGGTAAAATGTAAATTTATTAATTATATACTATACACAAATCCTTTCTATTACCTTTTTCTTTACCCTTTTATATATAAGGTGTAAATAGGATTTAAAAATACTTCCATATGAGGTGTGGAAACAAAATACCATCTTTCCACATTTTGTAATGCTTACTTTTGGATAAGAGGTTTTACTCCATTTCTATTGGTGATGACAGCTTTGTTTTTGTTTTTAAAAAAATTAAGGTTAAGCTTATATTGCAAAAAGTTTGATGACATTTAGCATCCTGAATTTCTCCCAACATTTATCTTAAATGCTCATTGCCATTTTAAATGTTCACTGAATATTCTGCTATATGCTGTTCTATGATTAATTTCATTTCAATTGTTTTATGTAAAAAGTTATTATCTTTTCTTCCCTGAGATCCTGTAGGGCAGACACTGTGTTGTAGAAAAAGCAGACAGCACCATTCTTGTTAAGCAAACAAGCCAGCAGACAGCACAGTGTATAGACAACACTACAGTAGGCAACAAAGAACAAAGCTGTTAAGAGATAAAGTAAACTTCCCCAATGGCTATTATCAGACTGCATTCCATCTATTGTAACATAAATGCCCAGGTCTTATAACATATTATATAACATGTTATCCAGTTGGTAAGTAGTGCAAGTCAGTTTGTATTGTATATATGTAAACAGTTAATAAAAGACTCTGTTTTCTGAGACATTGTCATCTGATCATGTGAGACAGATGCATTGGTGGTTGTTGAAGAAGATGCAATACAATCTTTTTTCTTTACAGCATTTTTGGTAAAAAAATAAATTTACCATAATAATTTGGTTCCTCAAGTAGAATTGGAAGGGGTTGACTGGTGATCAAAAATTATTCCGACAAATGACTTTATCCTTGCCCTCACTCCTCTCAATTTCCCTCTGCAATTCAAACTTGGTAAAGATAAAAAAATGAATAAGCTGACGAAAACAAAAGACCCAACATCCTGGATGATTCTTG